CCCCGTCCCCCGCCGCGCCTGCCCCCGAATTCTTCCCGAGGCCGCGCGAAATTGACCCGAAGGGTGCGTCCATCCAGCTCGGCGTTGTCCATGCGGGAAATAGCGGCATCCGCCTCGTGTTTTTGTTCGTAAACGACGAAGCCAAAGCCACGGCTCTGGCCCGTTTCCCGGTTTTCAATCACGGTCGAGAAGACAATCCGTCCGAAAGGTTCAAAAGCTTCGCGCAAGGCGGCGGATTCCGTCCGGAAAGAAAGGTTGCCAACGAAGAGTTTGTAACCCTGGGTCGTACCGGGGAGGAAGGGGAAAAGAGGGGCGAAGGGAAAAGATGTCAGCGGGAAAGGTGCATACAAGTAGTCCGCTTCATGTAAACGAAGTCTTCTGGGGCCGGGTAGGGGAGGAGAGAACTACTTTCGGCTCTCCAGAACTCAAGGAACTCATATCTCTGTAAGAGCCGCGCCATGACGCACATTCGACCGCCAAGATACGTGTAGCTACACATCCATGGTTATGCACAGCGCCGGGCAGACTTATCTACGCATATGGGTCATCTTATCCGATAAAGAGGTAGCGATACACTTATTATAGTTTACAGCACCTACACACTTCATTCAGTTTTCAGCACCTGCCAACACGGCTCACTCTCCTCACCGACTAAATAATCTTAGGTCCATTTGCCTTCGAAAAACTACATGATCAAACAGTGAGGCATCGAATTTCATGTATCACCAACTATATTCTCTGAGAAAAAACTTAACCAGGCGCGAACGTACGATTCATCAGGTGAGCGCAGAGGGGATCATCAAAGAAGGACCATGGAACGCCCGCATCTGCCACTTTTTCCAATCCAAGCCCCTATCACCATGTTTTTCAGTAATTCTATGCGTACCTCTTCGCTTTGCCCTGGAGATGTTGGGCGGGGAGGGGCTTCAGCAACGGGGGCCGGGACACCATACGCGTCGTAGTCTCCCATCTTTCTTGCTTTTCTGCTGCTTGCTGTTGAGGGGGTGGATGCGGTGCCCACGGTGAAATGGATGAGTACAAAGAAGGTCAAGTCTGATCATCCCAGTCTTTCTCACGACGAAAACGTTTCCAGGCCATAACGCCGGTGGATGGAATATGATGCGGGTGTTAGACACAGCGTGGAGAAGCTGGAGGAGAAAAATTACACCAGGAAGAATTCCGGCCGACCCCCCCCTTCGGCGTGTGCGTGTGCTGCGTGAGCCACCCAAAAAAGCACCACCTTCAAAAAATCCATCGCGCCCCCCGAAACCCCCCCCACGCTCCCTCAGCACTCGCCTTCCCCCACTCCTGCCAAAGCACGCCATGAAACCGGAGGTCAGTGCCCTTGAAAGATGGCAAAATCGGCTTTGGTGTCAAGGCGTTGGGTGTGAGGAGGGACGGAGGAGGGCCTCTCTCCTCTTCTCGCGCCGGCGCCGCAGCAAGATCTCGATGACTTCAAGCCAGCTGGTGGACAAACTCAGGCCATGGACACGGGCGTAGCGCGCAGGGGGAGCTTTGACAGGTGGGTTCATGCAGGATGGGAGTGGATTTAAAGGATTACTCTCTGTCCTTTCATGGAATCCTCGTGGGTTTTGTACCTGCCGCCTCGGGCGTTTGGGCTGTGGTGCTGTTCTTATTTCGCCCGTCTGCATGCCACTTATGTCCCACGAGCCTTCATTTCAGTTTCCCTCACATCTTTTTCGATAATGCGCGGCAAAGTCTTTGGAACAGGCATTGTCATGGTGCCTTATTTTAAAACTAGTCCGAGAGGTGGTCAATCGTCGTGATTTCCTCCCTTTCCATCTCGGTCAACCTCCTTCCAGCCAGACGTCACGTCACGATTTTGAAAAAAGGCCCGGGCACGACAACCTACAGGACAACGTGCCAATGACTCTTCTAGATGTAGTGTTCAAAGATTGAATATCGACGACTATCGAGCGTTTGAAATTACATTTTTCTTAAAATGGTGAGGAGGAGCGGAAGCGAGGAGACAAGTCAATCACGATGGAGTTGCAACGAGCGAGATTCTTTGATTTAAAGATGACCGCAAATTTTCGTAGGTGCTGCTTGGAGTACCCGTATCCCATAATGCCATTAAATTGAGGCAACAGAGAGTGAGATTGAACTCGATCATACGGAATGGCAAATTAACACCGGTAGAAGTCAGTAGAGAATCACCGACGTTGAAGAACTGAGCGACCCTGAAGACAAAAGATTCAACACACGAGCCAAAGTTTGCTCGGGACACTTCTCCCGTGTGCTACTGCTTCTACTGCTTCCAATTTTATGGAGTGGTTCCCTCATGAACCTGAATTGCTTTGCCTCTGGCATGATATCCAGGTGTGGAACCGTGGGTATTAGAATTCACCGGTTCCCTCCTCTATATTCCTTTTACTCCACTTAATGACCTTCTCTTCTCACTTCCCCACTTTCCCAATACCTTCCCACGAATCTCTTCCCCCGCTATATCACCTTCGTCGTTACTTTTCTCCTTTTAACATGGATAAGAAAAAATATTAAGCTTTTTCGTCACCGTACCAGTAGAAACCAAGAGTCGTCCACGATCCATCATTTTTCGCCCGTCCGATTCCTTTCTCCATCCTCAGATACTGTACCCGTTTCGGCGCTGTACGCAGAATATAGGAGAACATAACCTCTTTGCCCGTCCTGCCCACCCCGGTCAGACGAATACACTCCCATGGGAAACGAATGGCGCCTCGAGCCTTTCCCTCCCTTCCTTTTCACACGGCCTGCCCCTTTTCTTTTGTCGACATGGCCCCTTTCGTCTCCCTCTGGCCCGCTTCTTCCGTTCCCACCTCAGGACGACAGTGCTCCACTCTCACTCTGTTCCTTGTTACCACCTCCTGCGCCTGATTTGACGCGGCCCGGTTCGGGACTTTCATTTTCCGCTGGCACTGCCTTTCTTCCACCCCAACCTCCTCTCGACGACAGTCCTATCGCCAACACATCCGGGTCGCTTTGGGAGGCGACAGGGGTCGTCTGTCCACCCATGCTGGGATAGACAGACTTTCCTTCTGAAGCCCTGCGCTCTCTCGCCGCGGCTTCCTTAAGTCCCTCCGACGACGACTGCGGCATGTCAACTCGTTTCTTGCACCCTCCCTTTTCTTTCTTCCTCTTTCCCATTCTTCCCGCGTCTGCCGACCTTTGCCTCCATCCAACTCTCCTTCCCGTCTCTGGCGCATGCTTCCCCTCTTCATGGGCCCCATCTAGGCGCTCGACCTATGCCGTCGCGCTTCTATCGACACTCCACCTACTCGTCGCAACCCTCGACTCTGTGCATCCGCACGAAGAAAAACTTAGCGATTTTACCTTACTTAAAAACATCGGCCCTCCTTTCCTACCCTGCCTCTTCTCCCCCTCTTTTCTTTGTCCTTCATTTCCTGCTCCAACTCCTGCAAAGTCCACCTTTCCTCCCTCCCTCCCTCCCTCCCTCCCCGGAGGATAGTAGACCGAGGACACGGGTAGTTTTTCTGAC